CATTGGTAAGAATCACACGAGGTCTCCTACCTTCTGAAATTTTGCTCTGGACTTTTTTGGCTATGTCAGGGTGGTCATTGATTGCGTCTGACAGAGTTTCAGCCTCTTTGTAGCTGTCAGTGCGGAAGCATATGCCATCTCCTCGCACTTGTCTAACCGATTTGACCTTTATTTTAAGTTCATGTGGTTTTATCCTCTTTTTTATTTCGCTTTCTATTCGTTTCATGTCGGTGGATTGGCCATCATCTTCAGATTTAGGATAGAGTAAGACAGCAAAACTGCCACCTGTGCCTTCACTATTTATCTTGCTTTTTAAAGATTTAGTTATTGCCAAAGTTGTGGAGCTAGGCTTAGTGTTCAACTTTGTGACTTCAGCGTAGGAAGCTGATGGGGTAGGAGCAGTAGTAGGAGGCGGAGCAGGGTGCAGGGAACGATTGGATCTTACTTCTTTTAGGATCCCATGAAATTGGCCGATGCACGAGTAAAGACGAGTAACCCGGTCTCGTACTTCCTTCCGTTCTTCAGTACGAATATTGCCATACTTCTCCGGAAGTAAGTCGAGGATCTTCAGCAGATGTTGATTGGCCTCATTTAAGATGGAATCCTCCAGCGACGACACATTTACAGTACAGTCCAAAATAGTGTCTTCTGAAGAGTGCAGCTGTTGACTTCTTGATGACATTATAGATGTACAGTGTGTAAGAGCCAACCAAGAGAGTGTAGTGTGGTGTAATTGTCAGGCGGAAAGATGCCACAGGCAAAAGACTCTGTCCGAGAAGACAGCGTCTTACTCAGACAGAGGGGAAAAGGTTGGTTGGCTAGTGAAATAACAGTGACCTACCGGTATAAAGCGGCGTCCTTCTGTCCAAAACAATGTTCCAGCGAAGCGACGCTACAGACGATGACTGTTGAGACTGTCCTGACGCTACAGGTATCCAACCCTGATGACTTGACTGACGCTACCGGTGCACAGGTCTTGAAGCTTGCACGACGCTACATGGATATAGCCTGATGTGACACCAGAAGTACTTGTGTTGGCTGCCTATATGGGCTGCAGGGAGAGCGAGGACGGCCAAGCTAGCTTGGCCGGTGGCAACACCGGTCTTAGCTAGAACTGGACTGCCATTATGGCGGTCCACAACAATCCAAAAGTAGAGAACTGCACAACTCACCAAGATGACTGAATGGGCTGTCTTCTGATGGGGAAGACAATATGGCTGACTCCAAAAACCAAAAGTTCCACAAATAAAAGTGGTGAAAAAGTTAGGCTTAGCAACCCTAAGCCTAACACGACCGCTAGGACTAACCTAGGCCTACTTCCCTATACTTTAACACAGAGCTAAGCTAGCTAAGCCTAGACAGACAGACAGACATTCATTTTTATATATATAGATTATTGGAATATAATTTGAAAATGTCGTACTTATAAATGTCGACTGTAGTCTGTCCGTACGTCTGTCAGGCTGTCCTTCTATGATCTCAAGAAAACAGTTAGATACATAGATGTTAAGACAGGATGTGGAAAGTGTAGAGACAGGAAGTCCAGATTAAGTATATAGAAACACCTTGTTTGGAACAAAAAGCACCCTACTTCGATATTTCTTCAGAGTTAGATAACTGACACGACTCTATTGCTCACAGGAAATGTATGATATACAGGGGCAAGACCACCACTAAAAGAATTGAGAACGTTGTGACGAAAAGTTGCAGCCGACATTATACCGATGTCACAATAAATAATCGCTGATTAGAATTAATATGGTTTATTTGGTTAGGGCAACGCGACACGTGAGCGATCTGCCGAAAGGAGATGCATCCCAGGAATCTTTTATGGGAATTTCGACCCTATTCAGGTGAATAAACCAGTAAAACTCCACATAGTCAACCCGTTTACCATTCATAACTAACTATCGAGTTTCGCAGCAATTGTATATATTACATATATATTACACAACTTAAAACAATTCTTCGTAAAATACTTTTATTTGCATTTGTCTATTAATTATTTTAATTGTGAAACAAAAGCGCGGGTTGCTTATTCTCTTGTAAAAAGTGCATACATTTTAATTAATACTGTATTCAAATTGTATTACTTTGTTAAAATACAAAGATGCTTCTCTTTTCTGGAAATATTATACATAAAAGAAAAACAACAACCCAATTAAATCAAATAAACTACTATTTTACATTTAAGTCACGTTTAATTCTTTTTATTTAAAATAATTTTCTAACGCGTTATAAATTAATAGCAAAGAATTAAGTTATTGACATTCGTTACTAAAGTTTTCTTTTACGAGTAAGTAATTTAAAATATTGTAATTGTAATTACATATTGTATTGTATTGTAATTACATATTTACGATTGTAATGAGTGTATCAATTATTAATTCAAATTTCTTAATGAAATCACCAACTTTTTACACATTTCCTCACATTTTACAGTTGTTAAATCGCCGAAAATAATATAACTTAATTCCAGGTACAGTAGAGCGTCGATTATCCGAAAGTCAATTATCCGAAAGAATTCCAGTGGGCAAATTTAAATTTTCGCCACTGCTGTGGCGCTGCAGTCTTTGGCTATGTCTTGGGCTAATCAAATATTTTACGTTTTTGATACTAAATTAACTTCTGAAGTATAATTTTTTATTGTTTTTATATTTTTCAATATGCAAGTCAACCCCCCTATAACACTGTTGATTATTCCGTTTTATATGAATTCCATGTTGTACGAGTCATTTAAATTTTACAAATATGTGTGCCGGGCTGTGAATGGCTTATTTATTTGTAAAATCTAAGTGACTCATACAACATGAAATTCATATAAAACGGAATAATCAATAGTGTTATAGNCGCTAGGACTAACCTAGGCCTACTTCCCTATACTTTAACACAGAGCTAAGCTAGCTAAGCCTAGATTTAGGCTTAAAGACTAAAACTTAGAAAAACTTTCCTTACTGCAGCACTAGAAAAACACGACTTACCTCTCTGGTGTCCCAACTCCGAATCATATCTTTTGTACAGGAGTATATTATGGGGGAGGAATGATATGGTCCTATTTTCCAATTGTCTGACCATTATTTCACAGAGGTCCCCGGAAACCGGACTGCCCATGGGAACATCTCTACCCCGCATGTATATACTCCCATTAAATTGAAATACAGAACCAAGAATACCAAGTGGGCCAATTCAAGTATGTGTTGGTGCATTGCTCTGTCACTCCCTTTTTATATATTCATCCCGGTGTGGTGCAGTTAAGTATCCAAAGTAAAATAATAACTCATAATTAATTATTTTTATTTTATAACTGTTTTGGTTTTTAAAATATAGTAGACCCCCCTATAACACAGTATTGATGTTTATTTATGTAATCTTTACACTTTTCATTCTCAGAGAAATGATTTTTGCATCTGCCAAGCATGGAAGAGTGATACTTACATTCGGTGTCAATTACTTTATTCTTGTGTTTTGTTTGTTTTTGGTACCCATTTTCTGTTAGACATGTGCAGTGCTGTTTTTCCCCCTCATAAATTTCATTAGAAATGCTCAATTTTCATCAGAGTGCATGGACATATCACTTTGATTCCATTATATCTTAAAAACGAAGTCATGGATTCCCATTTTGTTTTACATTTTTAAATTTCTCATTGCAGTTAATGAAAAATGGCAAAGTTTTATCAAAATAATTCAATCAAATAAAAAGAATGAACACAATTCTGTAAACTGCATAGAAGAGGCTTTGCTAAATTTCTACCTCAAAAATTATTTTTTTTTTAATAAAATTTTATAATAGATGGCACCACANAACACAATTCTGTAAACTGCATAGAAGAGGCTTTGCTAAATTTCTACCTCAAAAATTATTTTTTTTTTAATAAAATTTTATAATAGATGGCACCACATACAATTATTTTAATCTTTACACTTTTGCTGACAATTAGTGCAGTTTTGCATCATGTCATCTTTGTCACAATTTGCTGATTGCTTAATTTGATAGCATTTGTACACTGGAAGTTTTTGGTAAATTGCATGTGCATTTATTTTCAGATTATTACTACCAAGAAGTGTAAAAATTATATAAGAGGTTATAGTTTATTGCTTGTTTCTTACTTCCCATCACATTTTTAATTATAATGGCTTTTGTCATTTATGTCCTCAGATAAGTACTATAAGTCAATTTCACATCATCACATATAATTCTATAAAGATTGCTTGAACTGAAAAAATTTTTTTATTCCTACTTTGTGTACTAAAGTAACATACTTCATGAAAAAAAAGAATCAGCATATTCATTGCAACCATTTGATCAGTCCAGTTTTTCAGTTGTCTTGATTTTGTAACACCATTGTTTTCTGAGGTAGGGGTTGTTTGCTCTATGCTCAACTCACCCTGGAGTTGAGCATAGGACTGGGCTAGTTCTCCAGGGTGTTTGAAAACAAAGTTCTCAGGAAGATCTTTCAACCCATGCAGGATAGCAAAATTGGTACATGGAGAAAGGTGCACAATGAGGAAGTACATCACAAAGTTGACAAGTATGACATCATATAACCATAGCCAAGGGACACACAGATAGGCAAGACATGTAGCCCACACTGACATGAATTGACATGTACTGTACATACATAGAGTGCTGGCTGTATGTACAGTAAATGACCTGTTGGATATCTTCTATTGTAATGGAAAGATGGACTGTAGAGGAATCTGTAGAGTGGATGTGGCACAAGACAGGAAAATGGAAGGTGATTGTCATGGTGGTTAAGGGCCCAAGAGAATGAATTAATCATTGAATAATAATCATTGCAACATTTCTTTTTTTATCAATGGCAGTAACAAAAGTGTTAAGTAATATAGAATACTATTATAGTGAATTGATAATGTGAAAATACATTATAAAAAAATGAATGTTTTGTTTTAAAATGCAATGTTCTAATTATTTAATTTCCTAGAATAATGCAATTAACAATAATTTTTGTAATTTATAATAAATGCAGCACTTTTTAATTTAATTATATTTTTTTGATAGTGAAATCTATGGAAGAGAAAAGTATTGATTGTTTGGCCTAATTGTATTGGAAATACCAAGGAAGTGGAATATGTCTAGTAAAGGTGAGATATTTTAAGTTTGTTATATTGATTAACGTAAACTCATTTTATTTTCAAATATTGATCAATGTTTTAATAGTTACTGATGTTAAAGAATGGTTTTAGCAATGTCTGAAATATAATGTATTTCAAAAAACTGGGTACTTAATTATATAACATTCACCAAATAAACCATCACCAGTTCATAACCAAACAGAAAAATTCTTTCTACAAACATTTTCATCTATATGTAATAGACATCCTCAGGTATTGACGATATCGAACTAACGGCTAGTAGAATAGAATGTTTTTGAAAGTTCCGTTTAACTACGTAATTTGAATATGTTGCGTTAAAATTGAAAATATGTAAAATATTTAAAACATATCCGAATAAATAATTGATTTCACGTAGATCATGATGTAAATATCCTCCGTAATTTAAAATATCTTTGATGCACATTTCAATCATTGGGATCTAATTCAAATATGGTGCGCCATGCTGCGTAAAGTGTATCGGTTTCTTTGAAATTAATACCGACCCCTTTTTTAATTGCCTTATATATCTCCAGCGATTCGAGGTACTTGAGTTGTGCCTTATCCTATACTTTGTGTAGCAATTTAGCATTTTGTAGATCAACATGAACGTCCTCATTATTCGCATATGAACGTCATCTTCAAGATCCCCGGGTTAACCATGCTTTAACATACATTGGAGCAACCGCAAGAGGTCTCGCCATGAGGATGAAAGAACATGAATACTTGATAAGAAAAAAGCTGACCATGACAGCACTAGTAACATATGCAAATAATAAGGACGTTCATATTGATCTACAGAATGCTAAATTGCTACACAAAGTATCGGATAAGGCACAACCAAGTACCTCGAATCGCTGGAGATATATAAGGCAATTAAAAAAGGGGTCGGTATTAATTTCAAAGAAACCGATACACTTTCTGCAGCATGGCGCGCCATATTTGAATTAGATCCCAATGATTGAAATGTGCATCAAAGATATTTTAAATTACGGAGGATATTTACATCATGATCTACGTGAAATCAATTATTTATTCGGATATGTTTTAAATATTTTACATATTTTCAATTTTAACGCAACATATTCAAATTACGTAGTTAAACGGAACTTTCAAAAACATTCTATTCTACTAGCCGTTAGTTCGATATCGTCAATACCTGAGGATGTCTATTACATATAGATGAAAACGTTCGTAGAAAGAATTTTTCTGTTTGGTTGTGAACTGGTGATGGTTTATTTGGTGAATGTTATATAATGTCTGAAATTGTTGAATTGTAAGAAAGATCCAATGCAATTTTCAAACTTCAGTTATCTTTAATAATTTAAATGTGAATTAAAAAATTATTTATACTATATATGAAAAAAATCAGTTTCTGTTAAATCTAACAAAACATGGTCATCTTGGAATCTAGAGGAATTCTGTTACCCTACAATTCTTACTTATGCATTTTCATTACATATTCATTCACTGAAGAAAGACAAAACATTTTCATTACATATGTTTTGTCAAATAAGAATTTCAACATCATCTTAACACCGGGGGGGGGGAATCAACACTATAACTGGAACCTGTTACCAGTGTTCCTTGTGAAAAAACACAGTCTATCACAAATGTTTTTGAACTTTTGAATAGTTCTTCCTCGGGTGAAATCCAATGGAACGTTTCAAAATAGAACATAAATATTTGAAAATTAAATTGAATGTCTGTATGATTAAATCCATTGCACTGGGCATGCACATTCGTGTGTGGGTGGTGGTAATTAAAGTTCATCATATATGAAGGCCTGTCGGGCTACTGATAGATTAAGCTCCTCTTTCTGGTTGATACAGGCAGTCATGTGGCTAGTCATGTGTCGTAAATGGATATGGCTTCTAGCCATTTTAGATGCTCTAGGTGGGGTGTAATGATGATGACCTCGGTTTTGTCGAATTCTGCTTTGATGCCTGGACCAGATGCATAAGTGGCCGGGCAGTGGTGTGTCGCCCATGCTGGAGGTCTGCTTGGTACTCCCATATTCTGGTATTTAAGGAGTTCTTGGTGGAACAAATATATAAATGCCCTTGCCCCATCTGCTGTCCTTGAATGGGATGCAGTAAACACCAGGAAGCCTGTTATGATCCAGAGAGTCTTTACCGTTTCTGAGGATATCAAAGATCATCAGACATCTTCTGTATGCTATCTGCATTTGTTGTTTCTTGGCAATTTCGGTGTACACTGCTTTAATATATGGGTTAAACATCATTGAGACATGTGATTGATCACCTGAGTCGGTGCTGGTCCTTGCATGTGCATTGTGAGCAGTAATGCCGATTAATCAAATGGTGCATCAGAATAGGGTATCCGTGCCTGGTTGCTATTTTTTTAACGTGAGCTAACTCAGTGGCTAGGGCTTGTGTGGTGGATGAATGGAAAAATGCCCTCTTAACTAGAGCATTAAATGCAGCAGCCTTGTATGAGAATGGGTCGCATGAACCCACCAGTATGTGTGTCGAGGCTGCACATGGTTTGCTGTATACCAACAATATTCTTCCACTCAAATGTTTATGTCCAGAAAGTGGACCTCATTGCTGCTGATTACTTAACTCTTACTATTAAGCCATATGGGTTGTCATTAACCTATTCGATGTTGAAATTTTTATTTGTTGCCTGTGACACCATGTTGAATTTTCGTTGATGTTAAGCCTAAAAATGTTTTTTTTTTAAATAATAATTGTGTTTACTGTATCGTTAAAAATTATTTTTTTATGTTGCACAAACAAAATAAATATATTGAATAATATAAAAACAAAAAAAAAATTACAGGTAGCCCTCGGTTTATGCCGGCTCAATTTACGCAGATTCACAATAATGCCGCTACGCAATTTGCCATTTTGCGGTGTAATTCCCCAATTTTCCCTATGCCAGACTGATTTTTATTTCAGTGTTGACATATTTACCGAGCCACGACATTGTACATTCTTTAAAATAAAGATTTTTATTGAATATATTTATTTTTTCTGTTTAATATTATTGGGTATGTATACATTTGCATTAAATTAATATTAAAACACTAAATGTTTAGGTACCCACGAGTCAAGTTATCAAACTTAATAGTCCAATAAATGGTGTCCGAATCCATAGCGCCAATGAATGTATCCCGTATCAGTTCGTTTAGGAAAACACCTTACGACGCAGTAGCACTTTCAGCGATCACAAACTATCGTTAGTGAGACAAATCTACTTCTCGTTGGCCAAACGATACCTTTTTATTAACCAGTCGATATCTATCTCTCCTTAGCCACCTTCAATTTTCTTGCTCAAACTGACCTTATACATGCGCTATGGTGACTGGTGTCAACCAATCAATGTCTCTGCTCGTCTGTAGCTCCACGTCGGGTTAACGTATCCTTTCAACTATGGAAAGTTTGACGGATGAACTTTGTGAGTTAGACAATGATTGGGAGCGAAGTGCAAATGTAAAAAGAAGCATCATCGCATCCATTCGACCATATTCCGAAATTCTCAATGAAAGAAAACAAAAATGTAAACAATTAAAGATGGATACTTTTTCTGAAAAATGTAAGAGATCCGAAACTAAAATTTTTTAATAAAAACATTTCACTTTATTTTATGATAAAATACATTTTAAAAATTAAAAATTTATATGTATTTTGTATTATATTGTATTAATAAACAAAATTATTTGCTTATTTTTCACTTATGTAGAACCTAACCCTATACCTCACCGTAAATATGGGTTCGTTTTACGCTGATTCAATTTGCACTGGCTTTTGTAGGAACGGAACTGCGGTGTAAACCGAGGGCTACCTGTATATTTTAAAAGTTTGTTTTAATAAAAAAATTGTAACACAGTGACATCTAGTATCAAAAACGTTCCGATATAAACATGAAAATATTTGGGATCACCCACGCAGGTCAATGAGGTCAACACGAATATTTTTGGGAACAACGTAGGACAGGTTAATGGCTTGCACAAAAACTTAAATGTCTGATGCTGTCACATGATGAAAATGTCATCTTTATATATCTTATAGAGCAGGATGTTTGGGAGAAAAGGTGGAAGGATCTTATGCTCAAGTTGTCTAGTGACCATTTCGCACGGGTCCCCAGACACTAGGCTACCATGGGGACTCCTCTTTTTTGCTTATAAACAATTCCATCCCCGTTAAGGATAGCAGATGGGACAAGGGCATAATATATATTGGTTCCGCCAAGCACTCCTTAAATACCAGAATATGGGAGTACCAAGCAGACCTCCAGCATGGGCGACACACCACTGCCCGGCCACTTATGCATCTGGTCCAGGCATCAAAGCAGAATTCGACAAAACCGAGGTCATCATCATTACACCCCACCTAGAGCATCTAAAATGGCTAGAAGCCATATCCATTTACGACACATGACTAGCCACATGACTGCCTGTATCAACCAGAAAGAGGAGCTTAATCTATCAGTAGCCCGACAGGCCTTCATATATGATGAACTTTAATTACCACCACCCACACACGAATGTGCATGCCCAGTGCAATGGATTTAATCATACAGACATTCAATTTAATTTTCAAATATTTATGTTCTATTTTGAAACGTTCCATTGGATTTCACCCGAGGAAGAACTATTCAAAAGTTCAAAAACATTTGTGATAGACTGTGTTTTTTCACAAGGAACACTGGTAACAGGTTCCAGTTATAGTGTTGATATATTTTGTCTTTCTTTGGTGTATATAACACATACACAGTATGTCTACTAAGTTTAGCAATGATTTTTTAAAGAGAATAGAGTGGCTGCTCTATCTATTGGCGACCAACAAATTTTGTTGCATGAACGTATTGACTTGTTACATATGCCATTTCACAAAGATCAGTAAAGTCATTTTGGGGCCATGTATAGTTGAATGTGATGGGTGGAGAACTTATGTCATGGAACTTTCAGGTATTAAAGTTTTGTGGTAAAGCTGGTAAACTGCATTGCAAACAGTTGAATTGAT